ATATAGTATGATTGAGCCTCACGTTACCACTGAATTTTACTTAGCCTTGCATCCCAAAAGCTTATCTCATCAAGGGTGGGCTGCAGTCTCGACCTCGCCTATTTCTCATCGGCACCTCAACGGAACTTAATACATGACATTTTCAAATTGATCACTTGTTTGCTTGATCGAAATCCCACTGTTGTCATGAGGAAAGAGGTATAGTTTGCCTTAAATGTCGCATCAGCCCTGTGAGCCACAGGCAATCGTGACTTATAGCATAGTGTAGTGGTAACCTCACCACAATACTAATTCTCTGATATCGAATTCCGCTTTGTGCGCTGAAGAAGCATAAGCGAATTGGATACTGCAGTATACTTGTTTGGACAGCCGTTTGGGCAAAATTGCAGATTGAAATTTCACGGTATCTTCAGGTCTAGTCATTTTTATAATAGAGAAACTCAACTATCAGTTCCTATATAACCTTAGTCGACATAGAGTGACTAAGGCTTTTAATCGAGAATTGTTCATAGCCTCGATAATTTTTTACTTCGAAAACAAGCTCCCATATTTATTTCCTCTTGTTCTACACCATTCTTGGATATGAAGATGTTCGTATTTTGACAGTAAACTTAGGTCTTCAAATAAACTAATAAGCCGATCTGAAATATATGTAACTTGTGAATTTTTTGTGAATTATATTGTTTATGTTAATCAGATACGAAGTTATTTTGTGTACCAGTCTGGGGAATCGATTCTATTTGACAATTTTTTAAATTATAAAATTCTTCTAAAATACCCTAATGTCGAGCGAAGGATTTCATAATTCAGGAAAGCTTTAATACAATTTTTTCTAGCTCGTTTATCATCTATGTATTTATTGGATTTCTAATACTTCTCATCTAGTCTAATCAATTATGTTCCTAGGCAGAATATTAAATTTACACAAATTATTTTAAAAATCATATGTATCCAAATCATATTTTATTAAAAAGTTAGTTACTACTGGTTATCTAATATGACTTTCTTTTGTTAGCTAAAATTTCAGCGCTAGACCCTCCACATTCAGGCATAGGCAAGCCTGCAAATTCCAGGTATGAAGTCACATATTTGTTTATTTTGAATTTTGTTATTTATCTTTCTAAACTTATCCTTCACATTTTAGTTCTATTCAAGAAAATCCTTCAATAAGGAAAATTTTACCCCAAAATTTTTCCGTGTCAGATTTAGAATGTCGTCTTTTTCAGACTGGGACTCAGGTACAATTATTATCCATTTTATCATATTGACATAAAAAAAAATTTTTATTTCCGTTTTAATGTCTGTTTCAAGAATCACTTAGGTTTACGGCCCAGATGAAAAATAATCATGAAAAGGCGTAAACGACTGGATCGATTGAAGGCATTGATATTATGACATATTGTCGCGTAGCTTTATTTCGCCGAAAAGAGTTATTTTAAGCATATAAAAGATAAACTTACCTATACTGCATCATTTGCTACTGTAATTGTGTGCTATTATGGCATTGTATCCTTGACCGAGGGCATTTAAATAATATTATCTGTTATCCTTATTGATATTGACCTTGGAAATAAATTGAATATTGCATCTCAAATGGCTTGTATCTCAGTGATTTTATAAATATCTGATGTCAATACTGGTAAAATATTTAGGACTACTTAGTCAACGACTTGCTGTTGGAAGGACACATGGTTTTGATATAAGATGACCTTGGAAAGCAATTGAATATAGCATCTCAAATGGCTTGTATCTCAGTGATTTTATAAATATATGATGTCAATACTGGTAGAATATTTAGGACTACTTAGTCAACCATTTGCTGTTCGAAGGACACATGGTTTTGATTAAAGATGAAGTATGATTCACAGTCGTCAGACCCTCTATATACACGGTCAAAAGTTGGAGATAAGGTCAAGTAAAACGCAAAAGTCCCGGCTCATTAGAGCTCTTCAATATACTGACAATATTATTTTCCTATACTTTTCTGGGACTGAAACCGAGGGAAATCGGTCAACCGGGAAGATAAGGAACGTATCTACGAAACAATAAGGGGATCCGGATTAGCCGATCGAAAGAGGGGGGGTCGGGGTGAATAACAAGTGTGATGAGGGCACACTAGATTTGCCACAATAGGGCAGACATTTCGACGAGCGAAATGCAAACAAGTGATAAGTTGTGATAGGGCGGGAGTTGGATAATTAATGGTTTCCATTCAGCAGCAGGACATTATTCTTTTTTTCTGATGTTATTTAGTTTGTCTATCTAGTATGAAAGTAAATCTTAATTGACTTATTTGATTATATTTGTCTTTTGATGGAAGATAAATAGTGGTTTTGTAGGTAATGCCCTCTTCCTAAATTTGCGCTTTATTCGTATTATTTCAGCATGAAATGAGGCCCATTCTGCGAACACGTGACTTTGAAGAGAGTTCTGGTGACGACAACACACGAATAGGCGCATTCCCCTTTATGTCTGTGTTGCCCAATCGACCTGCATCTGGCAAGTCTGTAAAGCCAGCGGTTAATCGGCGCCGCATCAAGACGACGACTCTGGAGTTCGAGGACTATGTCGAAGAGGATGATGAAGAGAGAGTGGAAGGAGATGAAGATGAGGCTGATGAGTACGATGGAGGAGAAGAAGAAGAAGATAATGATGATGAAAGTAGACAGGCGGGCAGACGAGGCGATAGCAAGGGTGACACAGAATCTCATTTGCCATCCGAAAGTCTTGCTGGGTTAGAAAATTGTCCTGGGTCTATAGGGACACTTTGGACAGCCCAGCAATCGCCCACTCCACCTCGTCCACAGAAGCAGATGCCTGGGAAACGTCGAGATCAGCAACAACAAAAGCTTTCTCCGGCATCTTGGAGTCAGGAATCTGCTCACAACCAAAATATGACAGGTGGGCGTAATCAAACCCATTTAAGTTCCTCAACTGTTGCAACAGGTGGGCATAGCCAGGCGCATTTAAGCCCTTCGACTGTTGTTGAATCAGGGTCGCCTAGGTCTCCTATCTCAGCTACCGGACCTGTTCCTCTGGTTTCCATAGGCTCCACTTCACCAGGTTGGCTTTCAGCCACTGATCAAGCTAACTGCAGGTCACCCTTGGTCACTCCGGCCATGTTGACTGGTCTTAAAACGACTGCATCAACTCTAATCTCTGCCATTATTTCACCTATCGAGGACTCCAAGGCAGGCAGCCCCAATGAAGCACGGAGAGGAGTCCAAAATACAATCGTATCAGAACCAACTCACCTTGCAGAGCCGCTACCACCTTCGATGCATAGTCGTCAGAAGGGTGTATCTTGCACTCAACCGTCAAGCGGTCGAAAGATTCAGATGGTTGCGACCCAAGTTGTCCCAGGAAATTCAACTAGTTCACTTGTGATGGCAACGGAAGCGTTGGGTCGTAGTCAAGAGGAAATTGTTCACTTGCCCCCGGATGGCCTAATTGAGTCGTCTGTTTGCTCAACAATCAGCGGAGAGACTCAACCTGCTGAGGCTATTGATGGCTTAACTAGGTTCCAGCTGAAACAGGCCTTAGTACATCTTTTGGAGGTAACAATCGTTAGCTAACAGACTTTTATTTGCACTGGTTCTCAATTTTGTCCTTATTACACCATACATGCTTGCATCCTGATATTATTTTCATTATCTGATTCATTACGTATATAATCTATTACTCAAATTTTTCCTTGTTAGCCAACTTATCCCACATCATAAAGGCTAATAGAATAGCCCCCAAAAGTGCTATTAGTCCCAGCACCTTTTACAAACCATGTTAAAATGTTTTTACTCAGATTTATTTATACCCTATATTATTTAATATCAAGATGTAA